TTTTTGGTACTGGAGATTTAGCCCAGGAGTGCTTTACCATTGAGCTATATCCCAGCCCTTTTAATTTTTAAATTTAGCAAGACCTTGTCTCAAGAAAAAAAAAAAAAATCTTTTTAAACCAGAATAGATACTAGATTAAGGAACTGTTAACTTCTTAGACACAATAATGGTATTATGGTTGTTTATACACACATACATATCCCAGCCCTCTTAATTTAAATTTGAGCCAGGTTCTCGCTAAGTTGCTTATTTTCCCACTAAGCTGCTGAGGCTGGCCTCAAACTTGTGATTCTCCTCCTCAGCCTCCTAAATGGCTGGGATTACAGGTCTATGTGCCCAGGCCCAGCTCATCCCATTTTTAATCTGCAGCTACTCAGATTCTGTCCTGCATATAGGCGATATGAGACGAATAAGTCCTGGAAGTTCCCAAGAAGGGGTAGGAAGACTTGGGTTCTAGATATAGCTCTGGCACAACATGAGTCATTTAACTCTGAACAGTCTGTTCATCTCTGAGCTCTAGTTAATTAATCTGTATAACAGGACTAATATCTCTGCTTTGCCTATCTCACAATTTTATTGTAGGGACTAAATAAAAATGAGGGGGTGCTGGGATTATAGCTTAATGGTAGGGAGATGCTGGCATATGCAAAGGCATGGGTTTACTCCTCAGCACAAACACAAAAAGTGTGTGCAAGTTCTTTGAAAACATTTAAAATACAAAATTATTATTATTATAGTAAACCAGTCCTTAGGGCATTAAAATAGTATAAAGCACTGCCCTGTGAAACAATACACTTGAGATTATCATTCTGAGAATCTTGAACTCTCTGAAGATTACAGATTTTTTTAAAAACCCATAAATTTTTTCCCGTTCTTTGTCTTCACCTAAAGTTCAGTTCACTGCCAAAATAATACTAGTCTCTAGCCCCAATCCTGCTGCCATCAAGCATTTATTCACATTGCATAAAATTCTTGGAGTCCTCAAGATTGGTCAGAATTCCTATAAAATTCCCAGGACTTTGTGAAAAAAATGAGGGGAATGAAGTGATTGATTCAGTCTGCCAAAAGTGACATTCCAAAGTACATTCTCACTTTCCAACTTCAAAAAACATTCTTCCCGCCAGGGATGGTGGCACATGCCTGTATTCCAGCAACTCAGGATGCTGAGGCAGAAGGATCTCAAGTTTTGGGACAGCCTCAGTGACTTAGGCCCTAAGCAACTTATCAAGACCCTATCTCAAAAATAAAAAGAACTGGGAATGTAGCTCAGTAGCAAAGTACCTCTGGGTTCAATTCCCAGTACCCCACCCAACCCCAAAAGAAAAGAAACATTCTTTTACACTTTTTGAGAATCTGGAAGGAAACTAATGTATCCTTCCCTTTTCTCAAACTACACAATTAGAATTAGTTGGATAATCTGGAACTCACCCAGCTGGTTTGCCAATAGCAGAAAACAGGAAGTCAGAGATTCTAATTCAACTGGACCACAGCCAGGTCTTTATCATAAAGAACTGCTTAACACCGGATGTGGTGACACATGCCTTTAATCCCATCTACTGTGGAACCTGAGGCAGGATGATCCAAGTTCCAGGCTAGCCTGGACAATTTAGTAAGACTCTGTCTCAAAATAAAATTTATAAAGAGCTGGGGACATAGCTTAGTGGTAGAGTCTTGCCTAGCTTGAGCCAGGCCCTGGATTCATCCACAGTACCACACACACACACACAAAAAAAAAAAAAAAAAAAAAAATCCATGCCCATCTCTTTTGCTTACATTTGAGAATTCTTTCAGTAAGAGCATTAATCTTGAACTTGTGGAAATACCAAAGCTATAGTTAGTTCCATTTGTTCCTGTAGACTTTAAACCAGTAGAATCAGATAACTTGGGCCTAGAACTTCAGCTTTCATAATTGGTGTTATAAGTTCATGCTACTGACTCACCTTCACTTGGCACAAATCAGCTTTTCCTCTATGCAGATTTTTTTTTCAGCTTCAACAAATACTTTTAATGAAACCGACCTGAGAACCTAACCTTTGATTATTGTCTTCACCAGAAGCCTGTGCAAGCTATCCAGGCTTTCAAATGTGGGACCTGAAAACTAGATAGTTGATAAATAGGAAAGAGTGACTTTCCAATATCAAAAGTCTCAGACCAAGGAGATCTCTTTAAGAGGGTCTCAAAAAAATAATAAAATAAAAGGAGGATGGAATGGGGAAGGTGTATGGGTAATGCCATTTCTTTCTTGCAGTCTTAATCCTAGTCTTCCAATTATCGTTTCCTAGTACTCGATGTCCCCAAGACAGTGTCACCACCCCCTTAAGGCTCTCATTTTCTTTGCCTAGGAGCTTTTGAACTGGAGAATCTCGGTCTTCCTTCGGAAGAAACCCAGCGTTCTGATTCACGGACTCTCCATCCCTCCAGCGGTATCCACCCTCACGATCCCTCAGAACACGAATGGCTCTCTCATCTGGTCACTAAAAAGATTGGCTGCCCTAGACACGGAAAAAAGTCTCTCCTCTTTTCAGGAGTCTCCTCTGAACTTTCCCAAGCCCTCTTGGTGCGACGTGACCCCACACCAAGGTAACCGCATTTGCTTCCTTACCAGCTCACCGCCCCCGGGGGGCGCTTGCCGGAGGCCAGTGCAAGGACCGTTCGCTGCTTGGCCTGCTGTTATCCCTGCGGAGTGAATCTAACATGGCGGATAGAGACAGGGCCTAGTCCTCTGTTTCTCTGAGTTTCCAAAAAGATGATTGGCTCTGACAATTTGTCCCTCAAAATTATTACCCTGCTGATTGGTTGAAGCTGCGTTGGCGGGGGCGGGGCAGGACAAGCCTGAACCTCACAACAATAACAAACACTGGGCCGGAGGGGCGGAACTACAGGTGCGCAGACGTGGGCCTGGGCGAATTTCCCCTTCCTAGGCGGAGCGGGTAACTCCTGCTTTTCCTCAGTTCACTGACCTTAGAGGACTACTTGCCCTAGACTTGCGGGGCTGATGGGAATTGTAGTCTTTCTAACGTTTAGTCCAGTGTCCGCTCTTAAGACGCGAAAAACACAACACTCCAATCCATAGCTGTTGATGTACATAACGTGAAGAGGTCTCCAATCTACCGACTGGGTTGCCTTAAGAATTGTGTCCGCTTCCGGTGTCGGAAGCTCCTCTTCATAAGACTACAGTTTCAAAGAAACACTGTAGCGAAGGCCTTTGGTTCCGCAATGCATGCTGGAAGTCGCAGCCCCTCCTACCCGACTATCCTCTTATTTATCTAAACTGAAGACTTCCATTGCAGTGGAAGGTTGGGGGGGGCAATGTAGCCTCCTTGCCACTGCTTTGGGTACTATGTTGCGCTCTTATTCGAGACTTAGATGACTATTCCAACACTTGTACCGTAATTACTGTGACGTAATACCCCACAGCTGGAAATTTAGAGGCAAGCTGGCGCGTGCGTAATAGAAGACTCAATTCTTTCTCTTCCGTCTCTCGCTCATTATGTCATTCAGGGAAAGAATGGCTAACCAATCCCGAGCCCCGAAAGTCCCTCGACCCTTTTATGCCCCGCCCTTCCGCCAACGTGTCTTGATCTTGCATTCTGAGAGGCTATCGCTTGGCTGCAAAGGCCAGTTTCCTTGGCGACAGAAAGCGCGGGAATTACAGATAAATTGAAACTGCGACTGCGCGGCGTGAGTTCTTGGAGACTTTCTGGTTAGTCCATCCTCGGAGCTTTCTCAGATATCTGGGCCCCTGGGCCCGGGAAACTTGGATGCTTTGCTTGGGTAAAGATGGAAGAGCCCTAGGGACGGGAGAGGGGTCCAAAGAGAATTCATGGTGACAGGCGGGAGGCTGGTGTGAGAATAGCGTCTACTAAAGGAGAGGAAGACGGGTGTTATTCGGCTCCGGGAGAAGGTGCGGCGGACGGATCCTGAAGGGCCTAAGACAGTGTGAATCTGAGTGAAATCCTGGGAGGGGAACAGTTTGTGGATTGGAAGGGGCGCTCTCAGAATAGGAAGGCGGCACAATGTGTTGGAGGGAAAATCCTGGTAAGAATATTGGCTGGTAAATGTGAGAGGACAGGACCTTTACGAAGAGGAGCAGACAGGATTTTGCGGAAAAGAACCCTTAAGAACTGGATCCAGCTGGATGCGGTGGCCCACTCCTGTAATCCCAGCAATTTCGGAGGCTGAGGCAGGAGGATGGCAAGTTTCAGGCCTGCTTCAGCAATTTAGCGAGACCCTGTCTCAAAGGAATGAATAAATAAAAAGGACCGGGAATGTAGCTCAATGGTAAAGCATCCCTGGGGTTCAATGCTTAGTATCAAAACGAAAAACCTAACTGGATTTTTATGCGTTTTGAGATGGCAGTAGGAGGAAGTACATGTTGGGGGACATCAGTAGTAACAGGTGCAACTGGCTGAGACATTTGTGGAGTATTGTGAAATGAGTGCAGATCACTGGGAAACACTGGGGAAGAGGTGGAGTAGGGAAGGGTTGACGTGTATTGGTTTTATTGTTGGTGGTGTTTTGGGGTGCTTGTTAAGAGGTGGAGTCTCCTGTTGCCCAGGCAGACCCCTGAACTCCTGGGCTCAAGAGATCCTCCTGCCTCCGCTTCCAGAGGAGCTGAGGCTGCATGTACATGCTATCATGCCTTGCTTATTTTTGGTTTCAAGCAAGAAAAAGAAAACAGCCAGGATGATGGAGAAAGCTGACAATACCACTCCACACCCAATCAGTCACCCACAGTGGCTTTCCTTTTCTTGGAAAAAGGAGAAGACCAAAGGAAAGGGTTGGAGGCTATGTATGAGTGAATTGAGAATTCAAATAGTCTAATCACAAAAATCAACTGCTAGAATTTTTTTGAATGAAAGCTTTGTCATTTGGTCTGTGGTTGAAATAATTATAAAGCACTCCAGTCTTAATTTTCTTTTATTTAGAACTTAAGATGCTGTTCTTGTAAATCTTCTAAAGAGGTTTATTTATTTATGTTTTGTATTTTATGTGTTAAAGTTCAATGGAACAGAAAGAAATGGATTTATCTGCAGTTCGTGTTGAAGAAGTACAAAATGTCCTTAATGCTATGCAGAAAATCTTAGAGTGTCCAATTTGGTAAGTCAACAGAAGAGTTTATTAGTTTGTGATTCTTCCTTGTATGATTATCTCTTAAGCAAATGAGAAGAATTGACCATACATAGTAGGAAGGAAAAAATATAATAAATCTATTAAGATTAGGGTGATTGGGCTGGGGTTGTGGCTCAGTGGTAGAGCACTTGCCTGGCATGTGTGAGGCACTCAGCACCACAAAAAAATAAATAAATAAAATGAAGGTCCATGGACAATTAAAAAAAAAAAAGATCAGGGTACTTAAGTCAGCTCCCTTTTTCTCCAGTTTACAGACTGTCTGGATTAGTGCTGTATTGGAACAGGTATCTGTTTTGGATTAAGTGGTACTTAGGCTTTTCTTCCAGCTCTAAAGCCAGCTTGATTGCTTGAATGGGCATGGTTAACAGAGAAATAAAACCACAGATGCTTGGTGTCTCTGAGATGATTGATCTTTGGAATAATATTTGATGAAAATTGACCCAGTTAATTTAAATAACAAAACCTCAAGTAACTGAAGTGTCATAGCAAACAAAGTTTGGGGCCAGCCTGGGCAACTTACAAGACCTTGTCTGAAAATTAAAAATAAAAAGGTCTGGGGATATAGTTTAATGGTGGAATAGCCCTGGATTCAATCCCCAGTGTTACAAAACAAACAAACAAACAAAAAAACTGAAAGTGTTTGAAGCTTTTTAGAAGGTCTGATTCTGAGTGAGTCTTTGTTTCTCTCCATCTATGAAATGAAGAGAGAGCTGGATTATTCAATTTTTTTTTCTTTTTCTTAATTGAGGTAAAATTTACATACAGTAAAATACAGAGATGTTAGGTGTGCAGTAGAGATGTTAGGTGTGCAAGGCAGTGAATTTTGACAAATTATATATCTAGGGTTGGGGAATGTGGCTCAGCAGTAGAGCACTTACCTAGCACACTGAAGGCACTGGGATCAATGTACAATCAAGATATAGAACCTGGGGCTGGGGTTATGACTCAGGGGTAGAGCGCTTGCCTCACACTTGCAAGGCCCTGGGTTCAATCCTCAGCACCACATAAAAGTAAATAAATAAAATAAAGTCATTGTGTCCAACTAAAACTACAAAAAATAAATATTAAAAAAAAAAAACTTTGCCATTATCTGATAAAGTTTCTTTGTGTATATTCTGGAGTTCTTGTAGACCCTCCAGGATCCTTGTAGGTTAGATTTTTGTATAATTTTGTATCTTTAGGCATAAAAGCATTACTCAGGGCTGGGGGTATTGGTCAGTGGTAGTGCACTTGCCTAGCATACTCTAGGCCCTGAATTTGATCTCTGCAGAAAAAGTAAATTAAAAAAACTCTGAGAAGGAGTCCATGATACAACAAAGGTTAAGATTTAGTTTCTCTTAAATCTATTAAATAGATGGGAATCCATATTTTAGACCCTTTTGGTAAAAAAAAAAAAAAAAGGAAAATCAGAAGAATTAGAATTATTGCCACTCTCCTCTCTGGACTTGAGACTTTGGCTTTTTAACTATTCTTCATATATGACATATTCTGCCTCTGAACTGTTGTATTTCTTTTTTTTTTTTTTAAAACTTTTTTTTTTTAAAGAGAGAGGAGAGAGAGAATTTTTTTTTTTTTTTAATATTTTTTTTTAGTTCTCGGTGGACACAACGTCTTTGTTGGTATGTGGTGCTGAGGATCGAACCCGGGCTGCACGAATGCCAGGCGAGCGTGCTACCGCTTGAGCCACATCCCCAGCCCCTGTTGTATTTCTTGTTCCCTCTGCCTAGAATTTCCTTCCCCTGATAATTGTGTGGCTTAAAAATCTTGTTTCATATAATACCTTTTCAAAAAGTATCTCCAGGCAATCCTATTTAAAATTATAATGTCCCAACATGCCCCTTATCCCCCTTTCATGTTTCATTTTTCTCTGTAACTATCTGAGTTATGTATGATTTATTCATCTCCCTACAGAATATAAACTCTATGAGGACAAAAGTTTTTGTTTGTTTGTTTAATTATGTATCTTCAATAGTTAGAATAGTACTTAAGATATGGAAGCCACTCAATAAGCTAAATTAATTGATAAGCTAAATTGATTCTTTGATAGTTTATTTTCATTTTTTTCTTGGTGCTGGTGATTGAACCCAGGATTTCTTAAATGCTAAGTACATGTTCTACCACTCAGCTATACCCCAACCTCAGCCCCATTATTATTATTTTTTTAAAATATAGTGATGATTAGTAGTGGGTAGCACTCAAAAACATAAATTGAGGCAGGCATGGTGACAAGCACCTGTAATCCCAGCAACTCATGAGGCTGAGGCTAGAGGGTTACAAGTTTGAATTCAATGAGACCCTTAGCAACTTAGCGAAACCCTATCTCTAAATAAAAAAGATTTTGTAAAAAGTTGCACCTCTTGCCCTTTACCTTCAATGAAGAAGGGAAAATTCAAGTAAATTTGCTTTCATGCTTCATGAGAATTGTTTTTCATATTTGGAGTCAAGTTAATAAGATTAAAGAAAATACAAGTTGTGTTTTCAGGGAAATAACGAAATTTATAAGTAATCATTCTCTTACCTCTCAACATTTCAGCTTGACGAAAACAATAGATAAATAAAATTTACAGCCTAATTTATGAAACATCAGAACAGGAAAGCAGGAAATAACATTGTAGGGAGACAGCTGCTTTTGAAAAAAAAAATCACAAAACATATATGATAATTATAGTGATCAAAAAATTTTCAATAATGTGGCATCTGGGTCCATTTATTTTACATGCTCATGGGACTCAGTCATAAAAATATAATGTGCTTTCTCATTCTGGCAAGTTAAACCATCAATTTAAAAACTCACACAGTGAGCTGGGATTGTAGCTTAGTGGTAGAACGCTTGCGTAGCACATATGAGGCACTAGGTTCAATTCTCAACACCACACATAAATAAATAAATTAATTAAAGGTCCATCAACAACTTAAAAAAAAAAAAAAACTTACACATTGCCAGGTGCACTGGGCACGTCTGTAATCCCAGTGGCTGTGGAAGCTGAGGCAGGAGGATCTAGAGTCAAAGCCAGCCTCAGCAAAAGCAAGGTACTAAGCAACTCAGTGTGATCCTGTCTCTAAATAAAATACAAAATAGGCTGGGGATGTGGCTCAGTGATTGAGTGCCCCTGAGTATCTAGAATTAAAGACTTGCACTATTGCTGGGTGCAGTGGTTCACAGCTGTAATTCTACAGGCACAGGAGGCTGAGGCAGGAGGATGGCATGTTCAAAGCCAGCCTAAGGAACTTAGTAAGACCCTGTCTCTAAATAAAACATAAAAAAGGCTGGAAATGTGGCTCAGTGGTTAAGCGTCCCAGGGTTCAATCCCCTGTACCAAAACAAACGAAAACCTGTCACTACTGCCTCTGGTCCCAACTTCATTATTTTTTTCACAGTGTTCAGAATAGTACAATAGTACAATTTGTAGTTATATCTTTTTTTTTTTTTTCTAGTCTGGAACTCCTAGGCTCAAATAGTCCTTCCATATCAGCCCTTCCACCATGTGTAATTATAGGCCTTTGATACTATACCCAATTCAGTTGGCAGTTTTTTGTGATAACTGGTTACTCTTTCTAACTTTTTACATGTAAGTATGTAAAAGTTTTGACTTTTCAGAAGAATTTGCTAAAATATGTAGTCTCGTCAGGCACACTGGCACATGCTTATAATCCTAACTACTCAGGAAGCTGAGACAGGACGATGCCAAGTTCAAAGCTGGCAACTTAGCAAGACATTGTCTCAAGGAATAAAAAGGGCTGAAGAGCTGGGCATGGTTGTGCATGCCTGTGATCCCAGTGGCTTGGGAGGCTGAGGCAGGAGGATCCATGAGTTCAAAGCCAGCCTCAGCAGAAGCGAGACACTAAGCAACTCAGTGAGACCCTGTCTCTAAATAAAATACAAAATAGGGCTGGGGATGTGGCTCAGTGCTTAAACACCTTGAGTTTAATCCCTGGTGCCAAAAAAAAAAGGGTGGTGGTGGCTGAGGGTGTAGCTCTGTTAAAACACTCCTGGGTTCAATCCCCAGCACTGTACAAAAAAAAATAGCCTAGTGGTTTGTTGTTTTTTAAACCTAGGCTCAAATATTGCCTGGTTTGAAAGAGTTTAAGATATATTTTTTTTAAGTTTTTAAAAAATATTTATTTTTTAGTTTTAGGTGGACTTAGTATCTTCATTTTTATATGGTGCAGAGAATTGAACCTAGGTCCTCATGCATTGCTAGGCAAGCACTTCACCACTGAGCCACAACCGCAGCCCAAGTTTAAAATATTTGAATCACCTTTATAGTAAACATTTATTCTCATCAGGACTGAGACAGGGAACATATAAATTTTTTTTTCTTTTTTGCTCCTGTTTGGTCTTCAAGCTCTTCTTTCAGTAGTCATTACCTTTTTACATATTGGAGTTTTCATCTGTTCAGAGTTTGTGTTTACAGTATGTTTGTGTAGCTTGGATTATAATTACCATACTGAAATATAATTATTTCAGAATTGAGTCAGTGGTGAGAATGTAAGCCATCTGGTATCATAGCTAAGTCCAATTTTCTCTTTTACTGAGAATTTCTTTCATATCTAGCTTTAGTAATTTAGTAACAAATTGACATTCTTTTTTTTTTTTTCTTTTTAAAATCACATTTGGTCTCAATAATAATACTGACTTTGGTACAAGTCATCTCATATTGTGAAGCATTTGCCCAAGTAACGTTAAATTTTATTTTCATAATAGTCCCAGAAGACTGGAAGGATAGGTAACAAAAGGAAACTGAGATTCATGTAGAGGACTTGGCCCAAGGGTATGGTGCTGATTAAAAATAAAGAGAGACAACTGGGCTTAGGGATGTAGCTCAATGGTAGAGCATTTGTCAAGCATGTAAAAGGCCCTGGGTTCAACCCTCAGTACTATAAAGACAAAAAAGAGATGAAGAGAGAACTGATAATGGAAACCTAACCTTCTGACTTTGGCCAGTACTTTCCTTTTCATTGCCCTATCCTGCGTCAAAAACCCCATGATTACTAGAGTTGTATTACCAAACCCTTTAAAACAAGGCTATTATTCCCCCAGCTTTTCTTGTGATCCTTTTCTAAAAAGTTAAACATTTAATGAAAAGAACCATATTCCTCTCAAATGACCAGGTTATACCCTTTCTTTAATGTCCTGTCTAGACTTGACCACCGAAGTTCAGTTTCTAAAGCTCTCATTCAGTATGAATCTAAATAACTAACAGATTCCTACCTGTTTAGGCTTCCAGCTACCTCTCTACTTCTTTTACTATTTCATCCTAGTACCCTGGCCTACCTGCTGTCTGCACAAACACCAGGCATAATCTTGCTCAGGGTTTATCTTTGCTCCCTCTGCTAGGATATTCTACCCACAATTATTGTATAGCTGATTTCATCACATTATTCAGCTGTCTTCCATTGTCACTTTCTTAGGCCTCTTATGACCACCCTATATATGTGTGTGTGTGTGTGTGTGTGTGTGTGTGTGTGTGTGTGTATATATGTATGATCCTCCTGCTCCACGTATCCCAAATCACTGAGATTATAGGCCTAATACCACTCTTCCTAGCCTTAAGTCTCTTTTTCTATAGATTTTCCCCTCCTGTTTTCCTTCCTTGTCATTTGTCAAAAACATATTTATGTGTGTGTGTGTGTGTGTGTGTGTGTGTGTATATCCCCCATTACACACACATTGCACTCCGTGTCCCCTTTGTCCTGCCTTATTTGTCTCTTTAACATTTCCCCATCTGTTCTTATTTGTCAACTGCCTACTGCAACTGGAATATAAGCTTTATGAGGGGAGGCTTTATTTTGTTCACTGTTATATTTCAAAACCAGTGCCTTCCTGGTAGATGCTCAATACATGTTTGTTGTATTACTTAATGAATTAATTTCAAAAAGGCCTTGAAATTTCTTGGATAGACAGGTAGGGATAGGAATTTCCTTTAGTGAGTATTAGTTACATTGGGGTTTTTTTGTGTGTAATGCTGGGAATTTAACCCAGAGGTGCTCTACCCCCAGATCTTTTTTTTTTTTTTTTAATGTAAGAAAGGATCTCATTAAGTTTCCCAGGATGGCATCAAACTTGCAATTTTTGTACCTCAAACTCCCCAGTCACTGGGATTATGGGCATGTACTGCCTCATTCAGCTATATCACATTGTTTTTACCAAGTAATGGAAAATCAACATGACCCTTCCGAAGTGATGTAATAGAAGTACACAGTACATCTGTAAAGTGTTCTTGCCAAACAATTGAATCTGACTTTGATTGAGCTTATCCGTATACAAAAAATAAAGAGGCTAAAAGAACATGTTAAATCACAACATAGAGTTACAATCAGCAACATCCAGAATATGGGAAATTCTGAAGGTCAGATGATCTTTTTACTTATTTATTATTTTTGTGTGCTGACGATTGAACCCAGGGCCTTACATGCTAGACAAGTGCTATACCACTGAGCTATACCACCAGCCCTTGTTTTTTTTTAAGTTTGTTTTTAGTTGTCAATGGACTTTATTTATTTATATGTGGTGCTGAGAATCAAACCCAGTACCTCACACATGCCAGACAAGTGCTCTACCACTGAGCCACAACCCCAGCCCTTTTGTTATGTTTTTGACATAAATGACAAGGAAGAAAAACAGGAAGGGAAAAATATAGATTAAAAGAGACTTAAGGATAAGCACAGTGGTACAAGCCTATAATCCCAGTGGTTTGGGATACCGAAAGCAGGAGGATCACAAGTTCAAGGTCAGCCTGGGCAATTTAGGAAGAACTTGTCTCAAAAAAAATGTAAAGGGGCCAAGTATGTAGCTCAGTGGTAGACTGCCCCTGTACCACCAAAAAGAGACTTAAGACATAGCAACTAAATACAATGTATGAATCTTGTTTGGGTCCTGATTTAACATATCTTACTATTTAAAATAATTTTTATGAGATAGCAAAGCAACTTGGAACATTAGTTATATTAAATTATATTAAGGCAATTCTTTTTAGAACTAATAATGGTTTCATGATCATGCTAAAAAAGTGTCTTTTTTGAGAATATAGTTAAAATATTTATAGAGGAAATGATATGATGGCTGGGATTTGTTTTAAAATAATCTAAGATAGAGGCAAGTATGGATAAAAGAAGATTGGCCGTTTGTTGAAATCAGTTGATGTACCTGGAGTTTATTTTACTATTGTTTTTTTTTTATGTGTAAATGCTCAAAAATTCCCACACTGAGTTACAAAAACAATCACATACCAAAAAGTATTTTGAGGGAATTCAAAAGAAATACATATCTGTGTGGGATGCATTTCAAGATCCCTAGTGGGTGCCTGGATATGCTGAACCCTATATATACACTGTTTTTTCCCCTACACATACATAAACTAAGATAAACTTTCATTTTCTCACTTAAAGCATTTTATGCTTTACTTTGGTATATCCAAATTGCCAGCATCACTATTCTTGTGCTTTGGGGCCATATTAAATCAAATGAAGATTACCTGAACACAAGCATTTTCATACCCTGACATTCAGTACAATAAACAAGACTTCTACTAAGTGACTAACAACAAGTAGCAAATACAACCTGAATACACTAAGAAAAGAGATGATTCAAGGTCCAGAAGGGATGAAGCGTGATTTCATGGTGTTACTCAGGATGGCATGCAATTTAAGACTTACTGTTTATTTCTAGAATTTTTTACTTAACATTTTGGGACTATGATTGTCTGTTGGTAACTTAAGACTTTAGAAAGTGAAACCAGGAATAAGGGGAAAGTAACGTAAGAGGAAATTTTTTTTGTTTTTAATGGAGTTTCATTAGGTTGTAAAATGCATACTCAACATATTAGCTCAGAAATATATACCAGTGAAATGTAATTAATTGAAGAATTATCAGCTGATCTTTTTCAGTGCTAACAATTAAATATAGAGTATTAAGTTCACATAATTCTGTTTTAATGTCTGAAAGTTCAGTAAAGTTAAGGATCATATTTTCTGCTGTATTCTTAGCTCCTACCATAGCAGACATTTAATAAGAATTGAATGAGGGCTGGGGATTTGGCTCAAGCGGTAGCGAGCTTGCCTGGCATGCGTGCGGCCCGGGTTTGATCCTCAGCACCACATACCAACAAAGATGTTGTGTCCGCCGAGAACTAAAAAATAAATATTAAAAATTCTCTCTCTCTCTCTCTCCTCTCTCACTCTCTCTTTAAAAAAAAAAATCATTAAAAAAAAAAAAGAATTGAATGAACTTAAAGTCATACTTTGACTCAGTTATAACTGCTTAAAGTTAAACTTCTTTTTTTTTTTTATTTTTTATTTTTTTTATTTTTTTTAAACATTTTTACCTTAGTTCTCGGCAGACACAACATCTTTATTGGTATATGGTGCTGAGGATCGAACCCGGGCCGCACGCATGCCAGGCGAGCGCGCTACCGCTGAGCCACATCCCCAGCGCCAAAGTTGAACTTCTTTACTAAAAGTTATTTATTTTTAAATAAATTATTAAGCCTTATTTATTTTCTCTTGTTTTTTTTCCCCCTACCCCTCTAGTCTGGAATTGATCAAAGAACCTGTATCCACAAAGTGTGACCACATATTTTGCAAGTAAGTTTGGGTATTTTTGTGGCTCCATTATTAGCTTTTGTGCTTATTCTTTATAACACAGGAAACACCTAACTTTATAGAATCTTTAGTTTCTTCAATTAAATGACAACATAACCCAATTCTATTCATTCTTCCTCAGAGAATTACTTAGGAAGTCATCATAAAGTGATTGTAGCCATAGTTCCTACATAGCTTATCTGTATATAAAAAGTGATGTAAGGGGCTAGGGTTGTAGCTCAGTGGTAGAGTGCTCGCCTAGCATACACGAGGCACTGGGTTCAATCCTCAGCACCACATAAATGTAAAATAAAGATATGTATCCACCTAAAACTTAAGAATAAATATTTTTTTAAAAAATGATATAAAATCACTTTGAATAGCTGTTTGGTTTTTGTGTCCAAGGATAAAAGCAGTTGTGAAACAAGCAAATTGTTTTTCAGCCTTCCCAGTTTCTCCTTTCTATTCATTTCTTCATGCCCTTCTCTTTTCCCTCTTCTAAGGTTCAGTGCTTGCCTGCTTTATCATCTTTGCAAAGATAGGAAGGGATCTGAAATTAGTTTTTATTTAGGCTGAAATTCATTCATATCAGTGATTCAACTTAGTCAGCCTTCCATCTGCCCTCGAAATCTGTAGGCTCTCTATGCTTGGATTCAACCAAACATGGGTCAAACTATTCAGAAAAAAAAAAAATGTCTGCACTGAACATGTACAGACCTTTTCATCATTCTCTTAAATGATACAGTATAAAAACTTTACACAGCATTTACATTGTATTAAATATTATAAGCAATCTAGAAATGACTTAAGATTGTATGTACTTATATGCAAATACTATTTCATATAAGTGATTTAACCACTAGGAGATTTTTGGTATCCATGGAGGAGTCTTGGAACCAATATCCTCTCATAGGGGATGAGTGTATTTACATATTTAAGGATCTTGCCCTTTGAAATGAAAATGTCTCTTAATTGAAGAATTTCAGTGTGGGAAGCCATTTCTGACACGTGATTGGGTGGCTCCCGTTAAGGGTCTGAGGCGTTCTGGCTGTGTCGGAACTTTCCCAGCCCTTTCCTGATGAGAGAGCCCATCCGTGTGGGGGTGTGCCTGACCACTGACCTCGGGGGCCCAATCACTGACCCTGACCTTGGAGTGCAGTCCCCCCTCAACCTTCATTGGATGAAATTTTCCCCTGAATCTCTTGTTCCCCAATAAAAAGCTACTCCCAGGCGTGTTCAAACTCTCTCTCTCCTGCTAGCCCTGAGTAATCTTTGCTGCCCTGCTGGGCAGTTAGAGGAGGGAACCAGAGAGGGGAGCCGTCTCGGACCTGGCAATAGAAATAAGGTAACTGAGTCTGTGTGTTTTATTTCGATCTCTTCTAACTAACTTTATGCCAAGAACCTCATTAATGAAACCATTACGCTGGCCACATGGTGGATTTCAGGAAAAGTAGTGTAGGTAATTTAGTGAAACATGACTTTCTCTTTTCCTTGATGTTGAGCTATTGATTGAGTCTTACTCTGAATGTCAGCTAGTTTGTTTAAAGTAATTTTTCCTTTAATTGAAAAAGCAAGCCATGTACCTAGTTATGAGTTTATTAATACAAAAAGGTACATGATACACAGTATGTTTTCTTCCCACCCAAGAACCCCACCTCCTGCTTTCCTCCCCAGAGTTGACCACGATTACTAATTTTCTATCTATCATTTCGGAACTTTTAAAATTCAAGAGTTCTTAATTTGTTCATGAATCGTCTTCATGAATGTCCTAAAATTATATTCAATTTTAATCTTAATTACGTTAAAAGCTATGAGCATGTACTTTTTCTGGGAAAACAATCCATAATTTTGATCAGTCTTAGGATGTTTCCATAATCTAAACAAAGGGAACAGCTGCTGCTTTAAGGATAATGAGTGCTGGCTGAAGCTGTAGGAAACCTGTTCCTTTGGAGGCATACCCTCTGAGCACAAGTCTGCCAATTGGCTGGTGTCTTCCTTCCTCTGAATTCTGTATTATTCTTTATTTTCTTTTGTCCCAACAAAGACCCAGAGGCTCATTTCCATTGTCTTTTTACTCCTTTCCCGTGTTACCCCACTGGTTTAAATCTGTTTCCAACAGTTTTCTTGTGATTCTTCAGCCCAGTTTCTTCACAGATTGGTAACTTTGTGAAACAAAATAATAAAGTCCTAGTTTTTAAAAGTTGAAAGAAAGTTGGAAATTAACCTTTGTTTTCTTCTTTTTTTTAATGGGGATGAATTTTGGACTCAAGGCCTCCTGTATAGCTAAACCAGCATTGTACCACTGAGCTGTATACCCAAACCTAAAGGGTTCTTCTTTTGTTTTTGTGGAATGAACCCAGGATCTCACAAATGCTATACAAACACTTTACTACTGAGCGCCCCTAACCTTTTTTATTTTTGTATTTTGAGACAGAATCTTGCTAAATTGCTGAGGCTGGCTTTAAACTTTTGATCCTTCTCCCTCATTAACACTAAATAGCTGGGATTGTGGGTATGCCCCACTACACAAGTAAATGTTGTGATTTTCCTTGTTTCTTTTTTTTGGTAAAGGGGATTGAACTCAGGGGGGAATCAAACACTGAGCCACATCCCCAGTTCTTTTTTGTATTTTATTTGGAGACAGGATCTCACTGAGTTGCTTAGTGCCTCACTGTTGCTGAGGTTGGCTTTGAACTCCCATCCTCCTGCCTCGACCTCCTGAGCTGCTAGGATTTCAGGCATGCACTATCCCTGTTTCTTGATGAGAATCTTTTTGATATACACTATATGCTTTCTGGTCATCTTGACTAATGAATACTGAATATAATATTGTAGTGAGTTAAGAAAAGGTTGAATTGGGGTACGTGCTTAGCATATGTCAGGCCTTGGGTTCAATCTCCAACATGGCTTCCTGCCAAAAAAAGAAGAAAGAAGAGCCAGGCATGATAAGGCATGTCTGTAATCCCAGCTACTCAGGAAGCTGAAGCAAGAGATCATAAATTCAATGCCAACACAGAGCCTATCTTAAAATAAAAATGGCTGGGATGTGGCTCAGTGGTAGAGCACTTGTCTCTGGGTTCAATCCCCAGTACTGCAAAAAAGGAAGGGAGGGAAAATGGACTAAATTAGTTACTTTGAAAGAGTTTATAGAAAAAGAAAATTACAGGCAGAGGAAGTAACATGAACAAAGGTAGGAAGAGAAGAAAATAGAATATATCTAGGAAAAAAGGACCTAACTTTGCATATGTTTATTGTGTTAAGAGAGGAATGACCCCTCAGGGAGGAAAAGACATTAAGAGAGAAGGTCCAAGAAAAGGCAGAATGGATTGGAAATGAAAAATGGATACAAAAAAAACAGGGGGATATTACTTATAAGCAATAATGAATGAAAAGGAGAATGATTCTACAGGAAGCTTTTTCAGGGGAATAAGGTGGTTGACCTTGGCAGAGATGGAGAGGAAGACAATTGTTGAGATCCAGATCGAGAGGGTTTGTGTTTTTAAGTAATTAAGAGTGAAGAAGGCTTGGAATTCCTAAAATAGACTTATGTTAAGAACAGCCAGTCTTGTGTTTTGAATGATAGACTAGATTAAAATCCAATATAATGTCTGCTTTGGTTTGGATATAGTTTGACTGTGTCCTCAAAGGGTTCATGTATTAAAATTTAACTCCCATTGTAAGGTACTAAGAGGACTGAAAGTTAATCTATACTGTTGGGGGGGGGGGGGCGTGCTTTAGGAGATGATTAGGTTTAGATAAGGTCATCAGAGTGGAATACCCTTTACTGAATACTGATAAGTTTATAACAAGAGAAAGACCAAGGGCACACTTGGTACTACCCATATCTTGTCATGTGATTCATTGCACCAACTGCCAGCAAACAGGCCATCAATAAATGCCTTGAGCCTCTTGAACTGTGAGCGAAATAAACTTCTTTTCTTTCTAAGATTATCTAACCTTAGGTATTTTGTCATAGAAATACAAAAGTGGACTAATACAATGCCTATGTAATACATCAAGTTTTTCATGAAATTTCTTCTGTATTATCTTTATAATCTATATAATACCTTGATCTATATAGTGAGAAAGCTGGGAAGAATATTCCCAAGCATTAATTGTGCTAACTGAATTTTCTATGGGTAAACTCTGATTGCTGAGAATAAAATAGTTTTATTGACCTGGGTAACTATAGAGTTCCGAAATATTTAATGAACTTTACCCAAAAGATAATAGTACTAATCTGAACAAAAAAATTACCTAGGACATTCATTACTGACTTGAAGTTTTCAAACAATGAATGAAATTTATAATACTTTCTAGAAGGACTAGAATCACATGTGAATCATAATGTAACTTAAAATTTCTAATAAACACTAAGTTGCTGAGTGCCTTGCTAACTTGCTGAGGCTTACCTTGAACTCGTGATCCCCCTGCCTCAGCCTCCCAAGTTATTGAGATTATAGACGTGTGCTTATACCTGACTAATAACCACATTTTAAAAAGTAAAACGAAATACATAAAGTTAATTTTAATTATATATTTATGTAGTATATATTATCTAATTCAATTGTGACTAAGATTTTATCATTTCAAATTATCAGAATCTTCTTTTTCTTTTTTTTTTGTACCAGCGTTTGAACCAGTGGTGCTTAGTCACTGAGCCATATCCCTAGCCCTTTTATATATTTTATTTAGAGACAGGGTCTCTATGAATTGCTTAGGGACTTGCTAAGTTGCTGAGGCTGACTGAACTCATGATCCTCCTGCCTTAGCCTCCTGAGCTGCTGGGATTACAGGCATTCACCATCATGCTGAGCAGAATCTTCATTTTAACAAGATGCCCCAGGAGAATTTTTTTTCCCTCCGACAAGGTTACAATGTTGCCCAGGCTACTCTGGTTTCTTATGTACATTAAAGTTTGAGAAGCAGTGCTCTGGAATGATGAGACCTTCTTGTACATTTTTTGGTGTATAATAAGATGAAATAGACTAAGGGTGGTTGAGTTCTAAAGACCAGACCATGACATACCTTATTGGTATGTCAAATAAGGTATGTCATGAAGTGACCAATTGTGGAAATCCAGTTAAGTGGTGAGTTAGTCAGTGTTAGGCAGGTTTAATACCCAGATTATTAGATCATGATTTCAGAGAATTATTGTGTCTAGTAATGGGTTTGGTGTATCAGAGAGATCCAGAAATAGGCAAGAGATGGCTTATCTAGCAATGTATATTGAACAGTCTCTCAGGAATCTAGCAGCAGAAATGAGAAGAAATTCAGTAGCAGGGATCAAGCCACAGGAGGGTGAGGGTTAAGGGTAAAATTCTTGTCTCTAGGAGACAAAAAGCCTTGACATATGGAACTGGGATACCAAGCAGGAAATCTAGGCTGAATCTTCAAATGAAGAGCTCAAGACAGATGTGTAATTGTTAGAACTAAAGTACAGACAGTAGGTTTGCTCGAGAAAACAAAGCTTTGCCAAGCAGAGTATGTATGCCTGTAATCCCAACAACTCAGGAGGCTGAGATAAAAAGATCAGAAGTTCAAGACATCCTCTGCAGTTTAGCAAGGCTCTGAGCAATTTAAGTATGACCGTGTCTTTTTTTTTTTTTAGGTTTTAAAATAACTTTTTTTTAAAGAAATTAGATTTTTAAAATTTGTTCCAATTAGTTTTACATGACAGCAGAATGCATTTTGACTAATTGTACATAAATGGAGCAGTTTTCATTTCTCTGGTTGTACATGATGCAGACTCACACCATTTGTACAATCATACATGTACATTGGGTAATAATTACCGAAGACCCTGTCTTAAGATAAAAAAGGACTGGGGTAAAGCTCAGTACAAAAAAGGAGGGGGAGGGGAGGGAGGAGGAGGAGGAGGGGAAGGAAGGAAGGAAGGAAGGACAACAAAGTCTTGTTGAAATGGACAAGATTTGGAGGAACCAGTCGCAGGATATCTCAGGATATGTATTTTCCTTCTTAGAGGATATATTGGTCCACAATCTTATCTCTGTTGACAAGGCAGTTACGAGAGTAGGAATCCTGAGTACCCAAGATAAACAAAGGTAGCCAGAAATCAATCTGTCATTATTTTGCCGATTTAAGATGAATTTAGTGTTCTCTGCCAGAATAGACTTGGACAAGCATTAATAAATTAGGTGAGTTTCTTCAACATTGTTAAACTGCTTGGAGTATAGATGTGCCCCAAACTGAGTACTCTGAAAAATCTCCAGAATTGGTTTGTGGCACTGTGATTTGCTGTTTTCTATTTGCTGAAATCACCTTTCAGAAAATTTGCATTTGCTTAAAAAATGCATTGTTGGGCTGGGGTTGTGGCTCCGAGGTGTGGCTCCGAGGTGGAGCACTTGCCTATAGAATTACATAAACAATGCAAGGGAACTAGGTATGTGAAAATCAACCAAGAAGGGATTCTAATCTATCATTATGTTAGGAAAAGAGCACATAAATTAAACTAAAAAAAAAATGAATTGTATATGACATGAAAAGACTGAGCTAAGGAAAATATTGACAGATCAACAGAACATTGGCATATCCTTCAGGACTCAGAAAAAGAATTCATTAAATTCTGTTTTAGAGCTCTGGGGAGTCTACATGATGCACCAATTAAAGAAAAACATATATATAAGTTTTAAATAAGGTTCTCAGTGAAAAGGTCTGAGGCAAGTTTTGGCCTTTGTGGATTGCTAAAGCCCAAATGTTAAACAAATGGTAATGCATTTTTTAAAAATATTTGTTTTTAGTTACAGGTGGACATGATACTTTATTTTTTATTTTATGTGGTGCTAAGGATCGAACCCGGGTCCCGCCCATGCTAGGCAAGCACTCTACCGCTGAGCCACAATCCCAGCCCCATCTATTTTGTATCTTATTTAGAGACATGGACTCAGTGAGTTACTTAGCACCTCACCAATGCTGAGTCTGGCTTTAAACTCACGATCCTCCTATCTCAGCCTCCCGAGCCACTGGGAATACAGCACTACCGCACCTGGCCCCGGGTAGCTTTTTGACATCTTCATCCCCAAAACTACAGAATCATTATTGAGTACAATATGGTAGTTGAAGCATTTTTGTAGGTAAAGAAGGACAAAGTCTTCATCAGATCTCTATACATTCACTGACTCTGTTAGAAAGACCACGAGAAAGACCTCGGGCCTGTTGCAGTTCAGTAGTAGATCCAGTATCACCTTCACCACTTGATTACTGTGATTTGGGACAAGTCTCTATTTTATTTTTTTTATTTTTTTTATTTTTTAAATATTTATTTATTTATTAGTTATTGGCGGACACAACATCCCTGCTTGTATGTGGTGCTGAGGATCGAACCCGGGCCGCATGAGGTAGCAAGGCGAGCGCGCTACCGCTTGAGCCACATCCCCAGCCCCAAGTCTCTATTTTAAATGGAGATAATTTTTTTTAAAATATTCACAGCAATGTTACTGTTTTTTAAAAAATATTTATTTTTTAGTTTTAGGTGGACACAATATCTTTATTTTATTTTTATGCGGTGGTGAGAATCGAACCCAATGCCTCATGCATGCTAGGCGAACTCGATACCTTTTAAGCCACATCCCCAGCCCCTCTTTTTTTTTAATATTTATTTTTTTAGTTGTAGTTGGACACACAACACCTTTATTTCACATGTTTATTTTTGTATGTGGTGCTGAGGATCGAACCCAGGGTCTCGCACGTACGAGGCGAGCGCTCTACCGCTAAGCCACAACCCCAGCCCCTAAATGGAGATAATTTTTTAGGGTTGTTGTGTGGATTAAGAGAGGGCAATACACATATCCAGGACATACATCTCCCTGACCCTAACCCTGGAAAAGAGTCTGTGTTCACCAAGTGTCCCTATCAGGAATTCACCAACCATCTTGTAAAACCCACACCAGTGTGGGTTTTTTGGGGGGACGGGGGTACCAGGGATTGAACTCAGGGGCACTTGGCCACTGAGCCAAATCCCCAGCCCTATTTAGAGACAGGGTCTCATTGAGTTGCTTTGTACCTTATTTTTGCTGAGGCTGGCTTTGAATTTGTGATCCTCCTGCTTCAACCTCCCGAGCTGCTAGGATTACAGGCGTCTTCCATTGTGCCTGGTGGTTTTTAAAACCTGCACCAGAGTGGGTACAAAGGATCCAGACTCCAGCTGTGGCTACAATATAAGGTTTTTAATACGAGAAAAATAAAGTAAATGTAACCTATTTTAAAAAAGAGAGAGAAGCCAATACATGTGGGCTAAGGATATAGCTTAGTTGCCATTACCACTGAGCTACATCCCCAGCGCCAGGTGCTGAATTCTTTAATGAATTATAATCATTTTACATGAACTACTTACCATTTATGTCTAATTATGCAATATGAAATAATTATGAATATATCATTAAATATGCCATATTAACTTTTTAATAAGTTTTATTTGATCATAACCTTAAGCTATATGCAGGTAAGTTCAGTTTTCATAGATCATTTCTTACATAGTTTGGTTTCCTGCTTATGCAGCATCTAAAAAAATTAGAGATAACTATTGGTTGTAATTCACCTGTCATTACTTTTTAAATGATTCTTCAGGGCAGTTATGAGTTTATCTTTTCATGGCTGTTTGCCTTTTGAATGTTCTCTCCACAAAAGAAAGCAATTTGAATTGTTCTTTTCTTTCTTTATAATTTATAGATTTTGTATGCTGAAACTTCTCAACCAGAAGAAAGGGCCTTCGCAGTGTCCTTTGTGTAAGAATGATATAACCAAAAGGTATATAATTTGTATAATGGTGGGAGAGTGGAAGCAACAATGGCAGGAAACCGTAAAGATTCTTTGATAGCATAGCTAGTGTTCCTAAAAAACTATTCACCAGTAGAAAAATGTATAAAAGTGTGTTTATCAGACAGAGTAAATTATTTCTAAGGTTATTTTCCTGAAAGTTTTATGGGACATCTGCCTTACAGAGCAAACTGATGCCTTTATTTTCCCATCCAAATACCAACCAGGCCCAATCCTGATAAGCTTCCAACATCAGAGGAGATCAGGCAGTGGTAATGCTGTAGATAACTTATTGCCTTTTTCTAGTGTTTCTGAATAATGCAAGGACTTGCATTCTTATCTAAAGTACAGCAGCACAATCCTGCCCCAATTATCCACTAATCCTGCTTTTATTTTTCTTCATTTCATTTATTTTTACCTAATTATTTACCTGTACATATGTATTTATTTATATATCTTTCTTGCCATAGTGGAAGTTCTGTTAAGACAGTGACTTTGTCTATCTTGATCCATAATGTCTCTCCAATGTCTGGAATGTTGTAGGTGCTCAGATATTTAAAAGAATGAATGAGGGCTAGGGTTGTAGCTCCATGGTAGAGCGCACGCCTCGCATGTGGAAGGCACTGGATTCGATCCTCAGCACCACATACAAATAAAACCAAGGCATTATTCCATTTACAACTAAAAATAAAAGAATGAATGAGGGGCTGGGGCTCAGTGGTAGAGTGCTCGCCTGGCATGCATGAGGCACTGGGTTTGATCCTCAGCACCACATAAAAATAAAATGAAGGTATTGTGTCTACCTGCAACTAAAAATATTTTTTTTTAATGAAATAATTGGCTGAGTGTGGTGGCACATGTCTGTAATCCCAACAACTTTGGAGTCTGAAGCAGGAGGATCAGGAGTTCAAAGCTAGCCTCAGCAACTTGGTGAGACCCTAAGCAATTTAACAAGACCTTGTCTCAAAAAAAAAGGGCTGAGGATGTGCTCAGTAATGAAGTACTCCTGTTTCAGTCCTCAGTACCAAAAAGAAAAAGAAAAAAATATTAACACTGCCACACAATATATTCTGATGTCAATGATATGTTAATTATAGTGTAATGTCACTAATAGCTCTAGTTTTTAAATACGGTTTTCTACCATAGCTGTAGTAGAAAACAGTTATAATCTTATATTTATTTGTTTATATTTCTTTCCTTATTTAGTGTCCTTAAAAAATTGATAATCAGGGCTGGGGTGTGTGTTCAGTGGCAGAGCACTTGGCTGGCTTGTGTGAGGCACTGGGTTTGATCCTTAGCACCACATAAAATTAAATAAAAGCATTCTGTCCATCTATAAGTACAAAAAAAAAAAGTTGATAATCACTTGCTAAGTGTGCCTCGCAAACAATTTAATTTCAGAAGCCTACAAGAAAGTACAAGATTTAGTCAACTTGTTGAAGAGCTATTGAAAATCATTCATGCTTTTGAGCTTGACACAGGATTGCAGTGTAAGTATTGCATAGCCCCAGAGGCAGTGCTGTCCTTAAATTCTCAGGAAGTCTGAATAATTATTTTCTGTGAACAGATGATAAGACCTCCTTGGTCTAGGTTAATTTTAGCTCTGTATCTGTATTTTAGCTCTGAATCTATATTTTAAATCACTCCTATTAATCTCAGACCTTATTTTATTAATCCTGATATGCACATCTTAACATCTCTGAAATTGGGAATATTTTAGTATCGATGGTGTGTCATTGTTTAATTTTTTTTAGTGACCCATAAAATAATGTTTTAGTTTACATCATTGCTATCTCATAGTCAGTGAAATATTATATTAATAGGCAAATTTGTTAGTTTTAGGTGGACAAGAAGAAATAGAAATCACTTTGACCGTCTGTATATGTTTGTTTCTTAGAAGTAGAATTTCCAAAGTTGATTTTTTAGAAAATTAAGGTAAACTTAATGCATTACCTTAACACAATAAAGCACACACAAGATATTTCTTGGTTTCTTTAATGAAAATTAATGTATTTTTTTCTAACTGAAAAAATAATGTGTTCCAGGCTAGGGATATAGCTCAGTGGTAGAGTGCTTTTTTAATATGCACAAAGCCTGGGTTTGATTTCCGCATTCCAAAAATAAGAAAATAATGTGTTCCCTTATAATTTATAGTTGCCAACAGTTATAACTTTCCAAAAAAGGAAAATAACTCTCCTGAACATTTAAAGGAAGAGATTTCTATCATCCAAAGTATGGGCTACCGAAACCGTGCCAAAAGACTTCGAGAAAGTGAACCTGAAAATCCTACCTTGGTAAAGCCATTTTCATTTATTCTGGTAACATTTCTTCATTAAATATTGTGAATTAGCAAATGAGCTAAATGTTCGTGGCATTATATGAAGTATCAGTAAAGAAAGTATGGGCTGGGCATGGTGACACATAACCTGTAATTATAGCTACTCGAGAGGCCGAGGCAGGAAGATCACAAGTTGGAAGCCAGTCTTGGCAATTCAGTGAGACCCTGTCTCAAAATAAAAAGGACTTGGAGATATAGCTCAGTGGGAGAGTGCTCCTGAGTTCAGTCCCTAGTACTGGAAAAAAAAAAAAAAAAGGAAAGGAACGTGGTAAATTAAGTGGTTGGACAAGTGTTCTAATCAATAAGAGTTCAAGAAATTTGGAAAGGTCAGGGTGACTGGTTTGTCGAGAGAGACATTTTAAGAACTGACCCTACTTTGGAGCTTTATCAGCTCTGATGCATGTCAAAAATAGCTTCAAGGGGCTGTGTTTGTGGCTCAGTGGTAGAGCACTTGCCTAGCATGTATAAGACCCTGGGTTTGATCCTCAGCACCTCATTAAAATAAAGGTATTGTGTCCAACTACAACTAAAAAAATAATAAATATTAAAAAACAATAGCCACAAAGTCCCTGATCTTTTTAAGCATTTGAAAAGTGCTTTAAGCCAGGCATGGCTATTCCCAGCTATTTGAGATGCTAAGGCAAAGGATCTCAAGTTTGAGGTCCAGCTGGACAACCAAGCAAGACTCTATCTCAGAAATTTTTTAAATGGGTTGGAGTTGCTAGGAATGTAGCTCAGTAGCAGAGTGCTTGCCTAGCATGTGTGAGGTCCTGGGTTCAATCCCCATGTCACCAAAAAAGGGGGCTGGGAAAATAGCTCAGTAGTAGAATGCCCCTGGATTCAATTGCCAGTATCAAAAAACCAAAACAAACTTCAATTAAAATGTGTAATCAAAGGAAATGTAGTTATTTGCTCTGATGTTAACTAATATGTGAATGCATAATGGATATCTTAAAAATAACAGGTCTTATGGTATTAACATTTGTTTTTCTGTAGAAGGGCAAAATAGGAAGCAGAAAAATCTTCATTCAAAGCGATGTTGGGCCAGGTGCCATGGCGCATACATGTAATCTGAGCAATTTGGGAGGCTGAGGCAGGAGGATTATAAGTTCCTCAGCAATTTAGCAAGGTCCTGAGCAACTTAGTAAAACCCTGTCTTGAAATAAAAAAGTTTTTAGAAGTTCTGGGGATGTGGCTCAATAGTTATGTGCCCCAGGTTCTAGCCCCAGTAACCTGCCCTCCCCCCCAAAAAAGTAATGTTGGACGGTGCTCAGTGGCAGACACCTATAATCCCATTGACTTGGGGAAAAAGATGACAAGTTCAAGGCCAGCCTAGGCAACTTAGCATAGACCCTATCTCAAAATAAAAAATAAAAAGAACTGGGTATGTAGCTCAGTGTGAAGCACCTCTGGGTTCAATCCCCAGTTCAAAAAAGCATTGTTGGGACTTTTAAATATTCTGTTACTAAATTTGTTCTTAGGTATACTGGGGTTTTATTATCATCATTTCTCTCTTTTTAAAATTTATCTTAGTTGCTAACCCTTCATCAGATGTGGTCATAAGTATATATCAATTATTAGCTTAATATATACATATATATATATTCAAACATACATACATACATATATATTGAGCCACTGGGATTACAGGTATGTGCCACTGTACCCAGCAAATTTTAATACTTTTAAGAATGTACATAATGGGACTGGGGTTGTGGCTCAGTGGTAGAGCGCATGCCTTGCATGTATGAGGCACTGGGTTCAATTCTCATCATCACATAAAAATAAATAAAGGTATGTGTCCATCTACAACTAATAAATAAATGAATGAATGAATAAATAAATAATTAGAAATGCATATGATGGTACATAATCGGTTTGGAAAATTTTTAAACAATAGAGAGGAAAAATACTCAACTCACAAATAACCCTGACATTTTAGTGAGTAGTTTGTCAGGTTTTTCCCCAGGTATCATAAATTTTATTTATCTGATTGTGGTGGATTTGTTTTGCCCATGGTCTCAAGTTTCTCTTTATGAAAAAAGCACTGAACTGGCCATCGATTTGTTGACCATTCTTTACTGTACTGCTTAGCAGGAAACCAGTCTTAGTGTCCAACTCTCTAACCTTGGAATCATGAAATCTCTGAGGACAAAGCAGCAGATACAACCTCAAAATAAATCTGTCTACATTGAATTGGGTAAGGTGTCAGATTTCTTAAGTGTAGAATAATAGTTGCTAGATTGCTTGTCTTACTGTTTTACCAAAAACCTTAGTCATAATTTATACATGTGACAGGGAACTTTTGGAAGTGAAAATAAAATAATTTTATGGGCCCTATGGTGAGTTATAAATAATGTAAAAGATACAGTTTACACCTCAAAGAGTCTTACTTTATAAAGGGAGCAAAAGAATGGTTATAAGCTAGCGTGAATCAATTTTGGAAAAATGGAAAATAGCAGTAAGAAAGAACATGATGGGTTTCTATATCATTTAAAGGGATCCAAAATAATTTTTACAGGTTTAGTAAGCCATTTAAAAACAAACCTGGGGCTGGAATTGTGGCTCAGTGGTAGAGTGCTCACCTAGCACAGATGGGACCCAGGTTCGATCCTCAGCACCACATAAAAAAATAAAGGCATTGTGTTGTGTCCATCTACACAAAAAAAATAAATATTAAAGAAAAATAATAAACTAAGAGTTCAAAAAAGTCTAATTGCCTTCTCTTTTAGAATTGGGAAAGGCGGCCCTTTTTTGAGCTTTTAAAGACTGCCATGTGTTTCCTTAACACTTACTGGATTTCACTGAAATTACCCATATGTCTCCTACCCATAAGATAATAAATTCATGAGCAATAGGTATATGTCTCAAAAATAATTATAGTATTTAATATTTAGGACCACTTACTTGTATCCCTGGCACTGTTGGTTTTTCTTTTATAACTCATTTAAAAATGCATGTCAAACTTCTGAGGTTGTAAATATGTATACTTATTTTACAGATGAAGAAATTAGTCACAGAAGTTAAATATTGCTAAGTTAGTAAAGCTAGTAAGTGGCAGATCCATTTTTTAAATAAGCTTCAGAAATAAGCTTCAGAGCCTGTACTTTCTACTTCTCTGTGTTGCATGACTAATCTGTCTTGCTTGCCATGTAATATAGATGTTCAGTAAATGTTTCTAAGTGAATGAATATCTACTTTGCAACAAGTACATTTTTCAGATTTAACCCTTTTAATAAACAAAAACTGACTGATTTGTTCTGGGGGGTTTTTGATGGATATTTTTAGGATCTGATTCTTCTGAAGATACAGTTAATAAGGCAAATTATTGCAGGTGAGTCAAAAAGAGCCTTTGTCTATGAAGCTGTTTTTTTTTTTTTCATATTTAACATTTAGGATTAGTATTTTCCTAGATTTGAATGAAGTCCTTGGAAGAAACTTTAGAGATCATCTTATCTTATCCCCTCATTTTATATCTGAGGAAATACTGTTTTTGTTTGTTTAATTTATTTATGAGTAGTGTCCAAAGGACCTTAAGATAACATTGAAACTCTATACAAACTTGCTTTTAGCAGATGGTTATTTTCTAGCTGATTTTCTCATATGTAGTATTGACCCAGTGGTAATTGCTAATGGAATTATTAGAGGATTATATTTGTAGTTTTCTTTCTTTCCTCAGTTCTTTCATTTCACCTATTCCCAAACTTTATCAATATAAGTAACATAATAATCTACAAGGGACCCCCAGTTGGGTTACCTGCAAGAATGCTTTCCTTAAGAATTATTGCTTGACCCTGATTAAGATAACTGATCTGAATTATGGTGATGTCATTAGCAATCAGTTTTTGTTTAAAAATTACTTTTTCCTAATCTTGAAATTAGAAGGACATTATTCTTGGCCAGAAAAGAAGCAAAGAAAGCAATGAAGCAAAGTAGTAGCTTTTGCATTTCATTGGAATGCCTGCTCTTCTAGTGCTTCCTTTGTTGTTTTTTGCTCCTACCTTCTCATTAATATATACTTTTTTAGCTGGGTGTGGTAGCACATGTCTGTAATCCCAGTGTCTCAGGAGGCTGAGGCAGGAGGATTGCAAATTCAAGGCTAGCCTCAGCAATTTAGCAAGGTCCTAAACAACTTAGTGAGACACTGTCTCAAAATAAAAGGACTAAGGATGTGGCTCAGTGATTAAGTGCCTGGGTTCAATCCCCTGTAAAAAGAGGGTTTTTTTGTCCCTTTTTTTTCTTTCAATACAGAGGATTGAAACAGAGGCTCTGTACCACTGAGCTACACCTCCAGTGCTTTTTTACTTTTAGTTTTGAGACAGTCTTATTAAATTGCTAAGGCTGGTCTTGAATTTGTAGTCCTCTTGCCTCAGCTTTCCAAGGCTCTGAGATTATAGGCATGTGTCACTGTGCCCAGCTAAGATATTCTTTTATTTTGGGGAATTGGGGTTGAACCCAGAGGTGCTTAACCACTGAGCTGTAACCCAATCAATCCTTTCTACTTTTTTTCTTTCTTTTCTTTCTTTTTTTTTTTTTTTTTTTGAAGTTGCTACGTTGTGTGTGTGTGTGTGGTGGGGGTGGGGGTGGAGAAATGGTTACTAAGGATTGAACCCAGCAGTCCTTAACCACTTTACTACTGAGCTACATAAGGTGGAGTCTCACTACATTGCTTAGGGCTTCACTGCATTGCTGAGGCTGGCTTTGAACTTGTGATCCTCCTGCCTCAGCCTCCTGAGCCTCTGGGCTTACAGGTGTGGGCCACCATGCCCATCTAAGCATTTTTTAAAAACTATCTTTTAGCAGTCATGTAAATTGTGACTCTCGTTTGCATCTTTATAAAGCAATGTTCTGTCTTGCAGACAGAATTTTGTGACTGGATATTCTCAGTCTAACCATTTCATTTTGATTAGAGGTTACTTAAAGGAAAGACCAGGAATCACAAAATGAGTCAAATTGGGCAGCAACTACAGCCCTACCTAGAGGAGTTAAAATATTTGATCTTGGTCATTTGACAGTTCTATGAACATATAACTAATGATTCTAATTAAGGCTTCTGTGTTTTCCTTATAGTGTAAGAGACCAGGAATTGTTGCAAACCACCACTCAAGGAGCCAGGGCTGAAACCAGTGTGGATTCTGCAAATAAGGGTAATGGCAAGTCTTCCCAACTTACTAGACACTGAAGATAGAGAACTGTAGATAGAGAACCCAGGCATCATGCATGCTAGGCGAGGACTCTACCACTGAGCCACAACCCCAGCCCTGCCTTTTACTTTTAATTGACATATTTGTATTTCAGTTTTTTCCAACTTCTTTCTAAGTGTATGGAATATGAGTGTGTAGATAGAATAGAATACTGTGTGTCTGATGACCAAACAGACTGCATTTAATTCACTGTTAGAAGTTGGGGGATAGGAGATGTGGTTTATGCATAGGGAACATTCTGAAATTGACTTTTTGATTGGCTTGAGGGGAATAATGAGAATTTAGGCAAATAGAAATTATTTGAAAGAGCATGAGTTACATCTTCAGTATATTTGGTAGTTTATGATATTAGTTTCTCTAAACTAGTTTCTTGATTTCCACTCCCAAGTTGTATTAATTATGTATTTATTTATGATAATTCAGTTTTTAAGAATCTTGTTATTTTTATGTATTTTCAGCTGCTTGTGAGTTTTCTGAGAAGGACATAGCAAATATTGAACATCATCAATCCAGTAATAAAGATTTGAACATCATTGAGAAGCATGCAACTGAGAGGCATCCAGAAAAGTATCAGGGTATTTCTGTTTCAAACTTGCATGTGGAGCCATGTGGCACAAATACTCGTGCCAGCTCATTACAGCATGAGAACAGCAGTTTATTACTCACTAAAGACAGAATGAATGTAGAAAAGGCTGAATTCTGTAATAAAAGCAAACAGCCTGGCTTAGCAAGGAGCCAACAGAGCAGATGGGCTAAAAGTAAGGAAACCTGTAACGATAGGCAAACTCTCAGCACAGAGAAAAAGGTAGATCTGAATGTTGATCCCCTATATGAGAAAAAAGAACCAAGTAAGCAGAAACCTCCATGCTCTGAGAATTCTAGAGATACTCAAGATGTTCCTTGGATAACACGAAATAGCAGCATTCGGAAAGTTAATGAGTGGTTTTCCAGAAGTGACGAAATGTTAACTTCTGACGACTCATATGATGGGGGTTCTGAGTCAAATGCTAAAGTAGCTGGTGTATTAGAAATTCCAAATGAAGTAGATGGATTTTCTGGTTCTTCAGAGAAAATAGACTTGTTGGCCACTGACCCACATAATGCTTTAATTTTTAAACGTGAAAGAATCTGCTCCAAAGCAGTTGAGAGTAATATTGAAGATAAAATATTTGGGAAAACCTATCGGAGGAAGGCGAGCCTCCCTAACTTGAGCCATGTAACTGAAAATCTAATTATAGGAGCATTTGCCGCAGAACCACAAATAACACAAGAGTGTCCCCTCACAAATAAATTAAAGCGTAAAAGGAGAACTACATCATGCCTTCATCCTGAGGATTTTATCAAGAAAGCAGATTTGGCAGTTGTTCAAAAGACTCCTGAAAAAATAAATCAGGGAACTGACCAAATGGAACAGAATGATCAAGTAATGAATATTACTAATAGTGGCCAAGAGAATGAAACAAAAGTTGATTATGTTCAGAAAGAGAAAAATGCTAACCCAATAGAATCATTGGAAAAAGAGTCTGCTTTCAGAACTAAAGCTGAACCTATAAGCAGCAGTATAAGCAATATGGAACTAGAATTAAATATCCACAATTCAAAAGCACCTACGAAAAATAGGCTGAGGAGGAAGTCCTCTACTAAGCATATTCATGCGCTTAAACTAGCAGTAAATAGAAATACAAGTCCACCTCATCACATTGAATTACAAATTGATAGTTTTACTAGCAGTGAAGAAATAAAGACAGGAAATTCCAACCAAATGCCAGTCGGGCATGGCAAAAAGCTTCAACTCATGGAAGATACAGAACCTGCAACTGAAGTCAAGAAGAGTAACCAGCCAAATGAACAAATAATTAAAAGATATACCAATGATGTTTTCCCAGGACCAAAGTTAACAGGCATATCTGGTCTTTTTACTAACTGCTCAAGTTCTAGTAAAGTTAAAGAATTTGTTGATCCTAACCTTCAGAAAGAAGGAACAGAAGAGAACATAGAAATAATTCAAAGGTCTAATAATACCAAAGACCCCAAAGATGTGCTAAGTGGAGAAAGGGGTTTGCAAACTGAAAGATCTGCAGAAAGTACCAGTATTTCATTGGTACCTGATACTGATTATGGCACTCAGGACAGTATCTCATTACTGGAAGCTAACACTTTTGGAAAAGCAAGAACAGCATCAAATCAACATGTTACTCAGTATGTGGCAATCGAAAACCCCAAGGAATTTATCCATGATCATCCTAAAGATACTAGAAACGACACAGGGGGTTTCAAGAATTCATTGAGACACGATGTTAACCACATTCAGGAGATAAATGTAGAAATGGAAGAAAGTGAACTTGATACTCAGTATTTAGAGAATACATTCCAAGTTTCAAAGCGTCAGTCATTTGCTCTGTTTTCAAATCCAGGAAATCAAGAAAAGGAATGTGCAGCTGTCTATGTTCCCTCCCAAACCTTACAGAAACAAAGCACAGAAGTCAATCTTGAATGTGAGCAAAAAGACAAAAATTGGGGAAATAAAGAGTCTAAAATTCCGCATGTCCAGGCAATTAATGCCACTATGGGCTTCCCTGTGGTTTGTCAGAAAAATAAGCCAGGTGATGATGCCAAATGTAATATTACAGAAGTCTCTAGAATTTGTCCTTCATTTCCGTTCAGAGGCAGTGAAACTAAACTTATTACTGCATATAAACATGGAATTTTACAAAACCCATATCATATGCCATCAGTTTCTCCCATCAGGTCATCTGTTAACACTAAATGTAAGAAAATAGAAATAATTCAAAGGTCTAATAATACCAAAGACCCCAAAGATGTGCTAAGTGGAGAAAGGGGTTTGCAAACTGAAAGATCTACAGAAAGTACCCTATTAGGGGAAAAGTTTGAGAAACATTCAGGGTCACCTGAAAAAATAGTGGGATATAAGAGAATCATTCAAAGTACAGTGAGCAAAATTAGCCAAAATAACATTAGAGAAAGTGCTTTTAAAGAAGCCAACTCAGGCAGTATTAATGAAGTAGGCGCTAGTACTAATGAAGTAGGCTCCAGTATTAATGAGGTAGGTTCCAGTGGTGAAAACATTCAAACAGAACTAGGTAGAAACAGAGGACCCAAATTAAATGCTGTGCTTAGATTAAGTCTTATGCAACCTGAAGCCTATAAACAAAATCTTTCTCTAATTAATTGTAAATACCCTGAAATAAAAAGACAAGGAGAAGATGAAGTAGTTCAAGTTGTTAATACAGATTTCTCTCCATGTCTAATTTCAGATAATTTAGAACAACCTATGAGAATTAGTCCTGTCACTCAGGTTTGTTCTGAGACTCCAGATGACCTGTTAGATGATGATGATGATGAAATAAAGGAAAATACCAGCTTTATTGAAGGTGGCATTAAGGAAAAATCTGCTGTTTTTAGTAAGAATGTCCAGAGGGGAGAATTTAGCAGGAGCCCAAGCCCTTTAGCCCATACATCTTTGGCTCAGAGTCACCAAAAGGGGGCCAGGAAATTAGAGTCCTCAGAAGAGAACACCTGTAGTGAGGATGAAGAACTTCCCTCCTTCCAACACTTACTATTTGGTAAAGTAACCAAAACACCTCAGTCTACCAAATTCAGCACTGTTGTGACAGACTGTCTGTCTAAGAAAACAGAGGAGAACCTGGTATCATTTAGGACTGGTGTAAATGACTGTAATAATGAGGTGATACTCGAAAAGGCCTCCCAGGAACATGACTTTAGTGAGGAAGCGAAATACTCTGGTAGCTTGTTTTCTTCCCAGTGCAGTGTATTAGAAGACTTGACAACAAATACAAACTCCCAGGACCCCTTCTTGATGTTTGATCCTCCTTCCAAACAAATGAAACATCAGTCTGAAAACCAGGAAGTTGTGCTGAGTGACAACAAATTGGTTTCAAATGATGAAGAAAGGGAAACTGGCCTAGAAGAAGATAATCACCAAGAAGAGCAGAGTGTGGATTCAGACTTAGGTATTAGAACCAGATTTTTGTGTTTGCCTCTGCCTGTTTTATAAAATGAGCTAAATGTTTATGCCTTTTGGGGAGCACATTTTATGAATTTCCAAGTACAGTTACTTAAACTTGAAACATGTTTCTTCTAAGATTCTTTTCCTAAAGTCAGAAGTCCTTCACCCAGCTATCACATCTTCCCTGATTGAATGAGCTTTTAAATATCCTATTTGTTGGTGGACTTGCTTCCAATTTTTATTGTTAAAAAGTTGTAAGAGGAAATCCTGGTAGCAAGGAGGTTAATCATTTTGTGTAACATGAAGATGAAACCAGTCCTGCCAATGGGAAGAAACAGTTAAAGCAAGATGCAATTTTTATAGTCTTCCTACATCTGAACCTCTGTTTTTATTATCGTTTAAGGTGAAGCAGCATCTGGCTATGAAAGTGAAACAGTCCTCTCTGAAGATTGCTCAGGGGTGTCTTCGCAGAGTGATATTTTAACCACTCAGGTAAAAAAGGCATGGGATGGGGCTGGGGATATGGCTCAAGCAGTAGCACGCTTGCCTGGCATGCACACGGTGCTGGGTTCAATCCTCAGCACCACATAAAAATAAAAAAAAGATGTTGTGTCCACCAAAAACTAAAAAATAAATATTAAAAAAAATTCTCTCTTTCTCTTAAAAAAAAAAAAAAAGGCATGGGTACTTATGTGTATGTGGTATCCCCTGCATTTAGTGGTATGTATCCACATTCTTAAGTCTGCTGATATCTTCCTGTGAATTAATGGCATAACAATTAAGTATGATGCCTTGCTTCCCCAAATCAGATTATAAACACCTCTGTGGAACTCATGTCATATACATACGTACACCATCTAGCTCTCTGAAGAACACTAAGTACTAAATTTAATAAATAAGCTGAACCTTGAAAACCATATGCCCTGTTACAAAACATATAAAAGCACTTTGGTATCCAGAGAGAGAGGTGATTAATCTTGGTGCTTAATTGGAGCCTGTAGGGCTCTCTTCCCATTAGAGACCATCTAGTATTTCACTGTTTTGTGCCTATTTTTTTTTCTGTTTATGTCTTTTATGTGAAATCTATTAGTTGAGTTTTCTGTAGTGCCTGTAAATCATCTTTAACAACAACAACAAAAGGGCATAATTTGGAACCCAGTAGATAAGGCCAATAATTTGGTTACTTTTTTTGAGTGTATATGTGGTACTGGGGGTTGAACCCAGGGGCTCTCTATCCCTGAGCTATATCTGCAGCCTTTCTATTTTTTATTTTAAAATAGGGTCTTAGGAAGTTGCTGAGATTGGCCTTGAACTTGTGATCCTCCTGCCTCATCCTTCTAAGTTGCTGGGATTACAGGCGTGAGCCACCCACACTTGGCATAAATAAAGGTCTATAACAACTAAAAAAAATTTGAAAAAGAAAAAAAAATTAGGGGACTACAACAGATAAACAAGAATCATCCATGGATGAACCTTGAAAACATTAAATAAAATGTTATATTCCAAAGGACAAATATTGCATAATTTCTCCTTATATAAGGTACTTAGAATAATCAAATTTATAGAAACAGAAGATAGAATAATGGTTATCAGAGATTTGGGGGAGGAGGGAGTAGAGAGTTCCTTGTTTAATGGGTATCTGTCTCATTTAGGGAGGATGATGATGATGATAAAATTTTAGAGATAGTGGTGATGGTTACACGACATTGAGAAAATACTTAATGTCACTGAACTGTACTGTTCAAAATGGTGAAGATGATGAATTAGGAGCTGGGGTTGTGGCTCAGTGGTAAAGTGCTTGCCTAGTGAGGCACTGGGTTTGATCCTCAGCACTGCATAAAAATAAATAAAGAAAGGTATTGTGTCCATCTACAACTTAAAAAAAAAGATGGTAAATTAGATAAATTTTATAAGCTATCCAGAGATGGTTATAGTAACTCATTGGTCTATAGCCACTGAGTCTTCTTTCTTTGTGTATAGGGTGTTTATGTATACTTTATCATTATTTATTTATTTCTTGGTGTTGGAGATTGAACCCAGTCCTTGTGTATGCTAAACACACTCATTACAACTGAGCTATGCCCCCAGCTCCCCTACACCTTATCTTTTTAAAAAATCATTTAGATAGGGCTAGGATTGTGGCTCAGTGGCAAAGCACTTGCCTAGCATGTATGAGGCTCTGGGTTCAATTCTTACCACCACATAAAAAATAAATAAATAAA